ATATATATATATATATACATATGTATATGTATATATATATATATACATATATATACATTTCACTACGAGAACATGAAATTTTTGGTGGGAAATTCAGTAGCTCGGGAATCAAGCAACATATCAAGCTGTAAAGCGGTGAACTTTCTGAACAGAGCTGCGCAAAACACATGATCGCACTGGCTCTTCTAGTGTGCGTTGCTGTTTATTTTTTTTATTTTTTTTTTTTTTTCAGGACAGAATATGGTGCTCTAAATGAATTGATTAAAAATCCACAACCTCTGCGATTCATTTTTCATCTGCTTGAAGTGCTGCAACCGGAAGATTATGAGCCAGATAGCTGGCAACTGGAACCGCATGAAAAGTTGGCAAGTGTTGCAAAATTGAAAGAGGCCGGTAATGAGTTCCTGAAAAAGGTTATTTTCAATGAAATTCAGTTAAAATAAAGTTTAGCTCAGCTGCCGTTATAAATTTAATCAAACGGATAGCTTCCTAGGTTTCCCAGACTTGTACAGTTTCGTGCACCAAAGGGATCACTAAGGTTAAGAATGTCCGCTACTTCACAGTTTGGTATGTGCATTCATGTTGAAAATGCTCTCCGTCAGTCTCTTCCGGCAAATTTTATTATTCTTTTTATACTGACTTGATTTTAAACTTTTCCCAACTGATTTCATGAATTTTCGTTAAAAAGACTATTTTTTCCCTCAAAATTTTATTATTTTCCGTAAAAAACGTTCGTTTTTTTCGTATTTTCCGTGGAAAATTTCGTGGTTTCTTTGCCTAGCATGCTGCTGCAATAATATTAGCACAGAAATAAAGAGGCGATTGAGTATAAATTTGTACTTAATCAAAATCAATGAGTGCGCTCCCATCGGACGTTGTTTTCTGTGAAAGTAAAATCTCCATGTGTTGTACTGTTATTATTATTTTATACGGAAAAGAAGTATATTTCAGGGTGATTTGGAAAACGCATCTTTGAAGTACCGCGAAGCACTGAATCGAATAGAAACACTGCTTTTGCGCGAGAAGCCCGGTGATCATGAGTGGATTGACCTCGATAAGCAAGTTGGTTTTTTTTTTTTTTCTTGAGAAAAAACTTTGGCGAGTCCCAGTCAGAAAATATCGTGAGCCTCATTTTTTATAACAGTAACTTATCTCTGCGCTTGTCCGATCCACAGGCAAACAAACTAGCGAAACGGGGGGATTTGCTGGCCTAGTTTTTCCAGAATGTTCTGTTTCTTGCCGTTATCTAGCTTGTGGTGGTTTTCATAGGTAAATTAGCCGATTTTAGCTAAATTTGTCGATTCTTCGTTTTTCATTGCGCAAAATACTTCGATATTTTGTTCAGCTTGCTTCCCATTCTACCACCCACACCTTACCACTGTTGGAGCTACAGACGGATCCAGGGCGCTTTCCTGAGGACAGGGTAAGGGGAGGATTTAGGCCCTGCCGCCTCGCTCATCGCTTCTAGCGGCAACGACCGAGGGGTGGGGGGAAGGGAGGAGCGAAGAGTGATGTCGACAACAATTTCTTCATTTTTATGCGTTTTGTGCTGTGTAACAGCAGTACAAAACGCATATTGTTACAGGGTTGTCTGT